CCCTCTCGCTCGCCCTCTCGCTCGCCCTCTCGCTCGCCCTCTCGCTCGCCCTCTCGCTCGCCCTCTCTTCCTTGCCTTCTCGGTCGCCCTGCTAGCATAAGACTAAAACATGTGTTTCCGTTAATCTAAGAATCATCGCACATAAATCGCTAGTCCTCCCTGCCCCGATATGGGGTGGAGCTGCCCCTTAATAATAAAACATACCCCAACTCTACAAAATATAGATCTCCACAATGCCTTAAATGCCTCATGGTAAATTTCAAATGCTTCAATTCACAATGATCTGAAATTTCCTTCAGTTACCCAGCACATCACCCCCTCTACGAAAGATTCTTCAATAAGCTTCATAACCTCCCTTTACAATCGACATTCTCACTAGGTAAAACCACTTACCCTTATCTAAACAGCATCCCATCCAGATTCCCCAAAGATAAATTCCGTCCACGTAACTCCTAATTTATCTCCACATCATAAGCATCGTTATCTCAATCACTAGCAATATCTCCTAAGCGCCCCAATAACTCCGAAGCAATAACTCTTTAAGCCCAGCGGGGTCATTCTCCGTATGTTTACTGGGTATTATTCTGGCCCATAGTTGTGCCTGTGTACTTCCGGAAAGTGGCTATATACTCTGTAATATTTAATAAAAAAGTACTAAAATATTTTATTTTACGCTCTAATACTTGCCTCTAGCGAGCTATTAGGTACCAATTCTGCTGCACCGCCTCTGGCGGAATATACCAGAAACCAATGTGCTCTTAGTGTCAGGTAAAACATAATAATGATCGTGGTACATCTACCTCATATTATTTAACTTTTTTTTATTTTCGCATTTGTGTTGTATTAATCTTTACGAAACTGTGCAAGGACACGGCGACAATAGTAAAGAAGGGTCTGCAAAATATGCGTATTCATACACTACTTATTGTGGTATTGATGTCGGTTACATGTCATTACGAGTAAATTCACTTTTATTAGTATTGGTGTAATTTGTATTCTGCAATTTATTTAAATGAAAGGATTTGGTGTTTTCTCGCATACTCTTGAGGTCACATATAGTTGTCTCTCTATTACACAAAACTATATAATTGAACAAACAAAAGCAACAATAACATTTCATTAGCTCAGTGTTTTTACAATTGTTCGTGTAAATCGAGGTAGTGATAACATTTTGTAAATGAAAAATCTTTGGATTTCCAGATCAGAAAAGTTTGGGGCTTAATTTTATACTTTTATGCCAAATCATTCTTGCCAATAATGCCTTTTGTATATTTGATGTCCATCAAACGTGTTATGCTAGCAGATTGGTTTTATCTTCCAGAATGTATCACATCAAAGTTTTTAATCTTAATCATTTTAATATCGTATTCTTATCGTCTTGTACATTAAGCCATGTCCAATCATTTCTAAATAAATACACTCAATATAAATGCGTTCATAGATGGGCACAAACTAAAACAAGAGGGGAGCGCCAACACATTTCTGTGCCCCTTTGCCATTAAATTTTTAATTGCTCGATTGTGCAAACTAGTCAAAGTTAAACTTTGTTTATCACATACGAAGTTGTGCTAGTGTTCACATTTTCATTGATAAAAATACGCCATTGGATAATGAAAATACTACATAATGTATTGAATACTACAAACTATAACTATTGAACATAAATACTACAAATGTATGCCGTACGGCCTGTATTACTTATCAGTGGTGTGAAATGAACATTTTTATATCTGATTACACTCGTTTGTTTTCTAATATTTTCAAAAGATAGAATATGCGAAAAATCTTTCTGATTTGTACTTTCTGTGGAATTGTTCTAACCTGCCGTATGAATACAAGTTTTCATTAAATTTGCCCTCAAATATAGCGATGTCCGCCTAAGTAAATGCAATGTTCGTTTGAAGCCTGGGAGCGATTTTCAATAAAACTTTTGAAACTTTGATAACAGTCAGGTCTTAATTGCAGCGCATTTACCTCATAGACAGCGGATACGTGCGTTGAACGGGGAACCTATGTGCCTGAGTTGAAGAACTATCCTGTTTTTTAGTTTGTTTTGCGTGTACAAGTATTACGTAAATGTCACAATATTGCGAGACGTACGTGCTGCCGTAGCACCGCTAGTTTATCTTTGCGGCACTTGTGCCGCGCCTCAAACCTCGCCGCATTCCGCAGGCGCCGCGCGCGCCAGCGATGCCATCGCGTGAGCAGAGCGCAGGCGGTGCCAAGCGAAGGAGAAGGCCTCGTCACTTCTCAAGAAGATATTTGGGCACCTACGGGGTAGGAATTGGCTACGTGAGGGCGGGCGGCGTCTGAAATTTATTATTTTGGGGTATATGTGACAGAGTGAATGGGATATGTTAATTAATAATTTTCTTGCAATATATTATTTCATGATATGACAGTACGATCGAATAGAGCCGGAATGGCTCACCCCGTCTCTTTACTCAAAAGCATTCATTGTATTTCATTTTAAGTTATAAATTATGCGCATGAAATTATCAGTGCACATGTCAAAATTCCAGAATAACACTGCTTCACTTATTGGCTGTACTGTAGATGGCTTTGGAAAAAAGATACTCCTTTCAAGAGCCACAACGCTGTCTGTAGCAACTAAGCTAAGTGGTTTTATCGAGTAAAAATACATGCGTGTATTGAAAAGAAAAAAAGGAAAATGGAGAAGAAAGCAAGAAAGATGCAAACAAGGGACGGCGAAAGAAATGGTCACAAAGAAGGAAGAAGAATAAACATTCTCGAAATGTACATACTAGTCAATTTTTACTGCATGAATATTTTAACAAAATGATATATTGGTATATTGGTTTCGAATCGCTCAGCTCCACCTCACTATACTCCACCATGCTTCTCCCAGCCCTGCTAACCATCACCTCGCTCTCTTCTCGCATTCTCGCACCGTCCCGTCTCTCTCCGTCCTCGAATTTCGACCTGTTTTTTGGCCTCGGCTCGTCCCATCTCGCGCCGTCTATTCTCGCGCCGTCTATTAACGCGCCGTCCATTCTCGCGCCGTCCCATCTCGCGCCGTCCCGTCTCGCGCCGTCCCGTCTCGCGCCGTCCCGTCTCGCGCCGTCCCGTCTCGCGCCGCACTCCTCTGAACCCCACCCCTCTCGCCACTCCTCGCTCCGTTCCGTGCCCCGCGCCGTCGTCGCTGTCGTCGGCGGAAGAGGCGACGTCCTGAAAGTGGAGGCTTCCTGCGGAGGAGCTGGAACGTGCAAAGCAGGACTTTGCCAAAGCAACTCGACCTCCTTCGCCCGCGAAAGTTGCGCGGAGCCCCGACACTGTGATGGATAAGCAAGCGATCTCGCTGGCGTCCAACGTACAGAGGCTCTTCGGAAAGAAGGGAACGCAAATTGAGGTGAAGGGCCTGAGAAGGATTCTAATAATAACTTGTTTTAAAGAAAGTTCTCAAACACTATTTATTCTCCCTCAACTTAACTGTTCGGTCAGCGCACTGATTTACGTGTGATTTTGCTAAGGACTTGAAAACTGCGAAACCATGTTTTAAGTATTGGGCATTTGAAATATATTATTAGCTTAGAACGAGTACAGGGAGTTGCTAATAAACATTGTAAAAGTATAGAGTATTTTTGAAATTCTGAATAATTTAGATATAAGAGAGTAAATTATTGACGATAAATATGTCTACCATTGAAGTTCAAAGATCGGGAACTTAATGTAAACAGATAGTATGCTTTTAATGTTCATTTGAAATTAGAAACTGCATTGCAAAACTATTTTCTTGTTTCAGTTTGAAAAATGTTAAGTATTTTTTATTAATGACTATGATATACTAATTTATTGAAATAGGTACACTATTTTACGTTTAAGAACTGATATCATTAATATTATATAAACAATTCACTTTTTTGCACTATTTGACACTTTATGACTCTTAATTAAATTATGAACTTAAAATATCAAACAAATTGAAAAACCTCCAAATGTAACAAGTCAATCAGTTCAAGATGAAATCGTTGATTCATAGGTGGAAATAGCTTGAAGTTGGAAACCAACTTAGAACAGCCAGGCCTGAACTGTGTGTTACATCACGCGCATCCAGTAATTTGTGAGAGTAAATATTGTAATATTGTACATTGTCTACGAACATGTACTGATCTAAGTCTTTTTATATTTACCTTGTAAAGAATATCAAATTGTCAATTTAATTTTACATAGTTTCCACTCGCATGTGCTTCAGAATGCTGTTAACCAGAGCTACACTTACAAAAATGATATAAAACCACATCAAATATGTCTAATTTAGAGTACTACGTAAGAAGCGTAAGTGACGTCTTTTTAGAGGCCCGAAAATCGGCCATAAAGATCTGGGCCGCACTGTTGTCGAGTTGTGCACGATGGCACAGCTTGGTGCGGGGTAACATGTACTACGGGTTGCATATGAGGCGTTTGGAGCCCAAGGGAACCAAGGCACATTAGCAAACTCGTGAGAAAAACAGGTGTTAACTTTTTACAAAACATTTAATTTCAGGGAAACGTTTATGTTTATAAACGTTAAACGTTGGATGTTTATACAGGTTTCTTTACATTGTGACGTCCATCTATTAAGTTCTGAAAAGAGGTGTATAAAGAAATTATAAATATTAAATGTGCTCAAAATAACCAAAAGTGAACTTGATCCTTTGCGCTCTGAACGCCTCAGGCATCAGTCGATTTCATCGCAGCATAAGCTACAAAATTCTGCAATTCCTAGTCGCCTGCACCCTTGGATGAAAATTTCCACCCAGCAGTTACACTATTTCGTGGTTGTGTCGATGGCGTATAATAATAATAATAATAATAATAATAATAATAATAATAATAATAACAATCATAATAATTTATTACTGCCATACAGCGTACGTTTGGCGGCAGTTAATATAAAAAATAGAAAAATAAAAATTAGAACAAGAAATACCTACAAGCGCTGTTAAGAAATCTCGAAGGCATATCTCCTGTAATTCAGAGAAGAGTCGCCAGCACGTCTGCAGGTAAATTGTTACAGCCAACAATCATACAAACCTGCCACATCTCCTTTCCATATTATATGTAGAAGGGATTATCATCGCTTTTGCTCGTCTTTCCCTTCAGACGCAAATTTGACGCAACTATTTTGACGCAACTTTGACGCAAATTTGACAAAACAGACGCAAATTTGACGCAACTTCCCCTATTGACGCAACAGCTATTTCAAGTTTGAAAGTCAATTTATTCGCTTGAAAGTTTTGGAACTCAAAGAGCTAAAGGTGATGTTCGTAAGAATTTTATATCAAGAAATTTGGTGGCGAGCTTTACTTCCATACATAATAGATAATCAGAAAATATTGCGCATAATATTTTTACGGGACACTTCTGTCGGTAAAAATGTTTGGAAAATTAAATATTATTTGCGCAATGCTGTAAAAGTAAATGAATAAAATTTCTACCAGAATTCAGTGTTACTTATCATAGTTTCTCTTCAAAGACATACACTTAATATTTTTCACAAAACGCAAGAATTTCTTGTAGTTTTTAATTATTGATTTTATTCCTCATTAGCCTAGTGGCGACTACCCTAACCCCCCCTGTTAGAGTTTCGAGGAACAAATATTGGTCCTCTTTGTGCGTGGTAGGTTATCTGATCCTAT